CCCCCCCCCCCACCCCAAAAAACACACACACACACACACACAGAGAGACATATATAAACACGTGTTCTGCAAGTTGGGAAGAAGGTATACTCGGAATCTCTAGAAAATGTTGCACTTAAAATTTTGGTTGAAGAGTGTGCAATGCCTCTTGAGACTCTCGATTTATCCGAAGAAGAAGTAAAAGATGAACAAGCTTTTCTTTTTGTGCACCAATATTGACAATAGAATAAACTTCTACCCTGGATACATAATTCATCCCTTACTGATGAGAATGCAAGACCATTACAAGCTCACCAGTTTGGTGCCCAAGAAATATTTGCACTTATACTTAGGTAATTCTATGTTGTAATAATTGTCAATAAAATACTTAGGTAATTCTATGTTGTAACAATTGTCAATAAAAGAAGATATGGGAACTAGGGTGTCGCCTAAACTAATTGATGTAAGGAGACAGTTAATAACTAATAAAGGAGCTTTTCTGGTACCATTTATCTTAATCACAGTGACCTAAAGCGTAAATGCACAGAAGCCACAGAATTAAGACATTTCTAATGCGCTAGTCAAGTGGTCACATTTGTCCTGTTATTGAAAAATCATTCATTTTTTATGCTTAATGAGTGAGTTAGAAATCTCTACATTGTCATTTTCGCGCATTTACATCTTAGAAATAGACATTAAGATATACGGCTTGGATCATTTAAAATAAGGATGCATCTATTACTTATAGTTGTTCCATCATGTGAGCTCGGTGAGTGACAACTTACGCTTTGTTTCCTCAACAAGGAAGAAGGAAAAACAAGTAATTTGTGCTGTGTGACAGTATCATCTGTGAGATGACAGCAGTGTGGTGAGTGGCATGAGATGCTATTGCTCATTCTTATATATTTTATAAGTTCTGAGAAAAGTACGTACCAATTTCCGCACATCAGCAGCCGGGTCATTAGCAAGATGGAACAGACCCTGGAGGTATTGATCCATAGAAAGAAGTAAAGCCTGTATGACAATTTTGACTGTTAATAATTTGATATTTGAAATATCACACAATAACACTTGCATATTTTGGAGGAAACAGAAAACTAGATTAACTTACTGTAGGCATTATCACATTGAATTGATTGACAGAACCCAAGGAAAGCTTTCTCAAGATGGCATGTGGAGATTGGAAAAGCTAGACAACATAAAACATGGCAGGTCATTAGCTAACGCCATTCAGAACAACAACTGGAAACTGTATAAAAACTGTTACAACAGCTGATTAGTTCAGACACCAAGAACCACCTGTAATAATCTTGGCATGAAGATGTTGATTGGACGTTCAGCTAATCCAGGAATATCCATATCAAGTTCGTCGGGGATGTCTTCACAAATCTGCAAGGACAAGCAAAAGAAAAACTCCATGTAAGTTCTATGGCACAGATAACTTGTTAAAGAAGAGATAAAAAGGGACAATAACTACAAGATCGAAATTATTAGACTATGCAAATGTTTATACTGATTAGCTGTTCCAAAATCAATAGAATTTTAAGGCATATGAAATGCAAGGTGAAAGTCTCGCCTTATTAATGAAGATTTAAATAAATAGGTCCTAATATTCTACAAAATGCACCACTGCAAGTGTACCAAGAAAACAGTTGAATGAATGGCTCATTCAGAATTTTGCACAGCCACAAACATAAAATTGTGGCAATCAAAGTGTCATCTTGCTTACTACAACTAATAGCTATATTCACGTGATAAACTTAAAATACAATGCATGAATGCCCCAACTCATATTGACTGCCATCATGGGCTAAGTTGCTAGCAGTTTATCAGGTGCACATATATTACCTTGGATTATTTGTACACAAGGCTCTCTATATCTTATTAAGCTAGCATGATCTGCTGACAACCATTATTATTGAGGATAAAACAAATGGTAGATTGGGAAAGATAAAGAAATATTTATGCCAAGGTAATGATGATATGACTTGAAGAATGCTACTCCAATTGATTTACAATTAGTTAGCATGTATTAATAAACTATTAATACATAGAGAAGAAAGTACCTTGTATATGGCATCCATAGCACCTTCCATATGATTCAAATCATTACTATCCAAGCAATGCACCAAAGCTTGCAACAATTCTGGCCAACCAAAAACTTTTCCAAGTTGAACCACAACACTAATTACAGTACCAACTGTAGACCTAATTGTCCTATCCGCTGCCCCTAAACAGAGGAGCAACTCTGACTTAATATATTGCTGACTTGCAGGAGACAAGGAATTGAATGCCATCCTTAAGTTGTTTTTCAGAAGCAAGCCAGCAGCCTGTCTGACTTCCACTGATTTACCCTGTACGGATTACGTTAATGGTGAAAATATGATTAATACAATTTGATATGCAAAAAAATGAGAAATGGATCAGGGAAAAAATGATTAGTGCCATCTAATTGAAAGGGCTGAATAGCATTGTATATATAAGTTGATATTCACCACATGATGAAATTCTGCAGAAGCAGTAAACCGATCTCACCTAACCAAACATACATTTCATGCCTAAATCCTTTTAACGGAATTCTAGTAATTGCAGGGAAGAGCTGAAACCACCTTTGTATTTTAAATAGCAACTGATTTAACTGAAACATAGCTATATGAATAAGGATATAATATGAAATTATCAAGAGGAAGCAGGAACACAACTACTTAAATCAGCCCACAATTTGCAACACAAGCTCACTAGGCCAAGCCAATAAAACAAGGAGCAGCAGCATCAGAGATAATCGATGAATCATGATTACTAGCTGACTAGCAGTAGCATCTGGTGCGCTGATAGTAATTGAAAAAGAAGTGAGCATCACAATGAAACCTTCTCACAAATAACCTGCATTATGAAAGGAATGGCTACCTCTCCATCTTGAAACCCAGCACATAAGTACAGGCTGTACAATCTGAGGTGTACTGTTAGCAGTAAGCAGATAGATTGATTCCTCTAATGAAAAACAGTGTCAAGCTTTCTGTGTGTATGTGTGTGTTTCTTTTTTGTGGCAGCACGGTCTGAATTGATAAGATCAAATTCCTTGTCCCTGGAGAACTTTGTAATGAGCAGATAAACTAAACAACTCATCCTTCCCGAAAGAAAAAGGGAAAAGATATCCAGAGAGGCATAGACTTCATCATTATGAAAAGAGTGCCTACTTCTCCATATTGACACCTACACATAACTACAGGATGTACTATCAGAGGAATATTATTAGCAGTAAGCATAAAAATTGATTCCTCTAACAAAAAACAGTGTCAACCTTTGTGTGTGTCTTCCTTTTTTGCTGGCAGCATGATCTGACTTGATAAAATCAAATTCCTTATCCCTGGAGAACTTTGTAATGGGTAGATAAACTAAACAACCCATCCTTCTAGAAAGAAAAAGGGAAAAGATGTCCCTAGAGTCTGCGCTATCAACTGCTTGTTACCATACACATGGTAAAAATTTTCCATAACAGCTTAAACATAATTGCACCTCAAGCAGAGTCATCCATTTTCTGTCCTGTCTTCACTTGTTTATCTATGTGCAGTTTAAGCCAACAATAACAAGTTTATCATAAACTCGAATGTTGAAACACTTAAGTGAGAACCAAATTTATGCTCCCCATAAGCCTCCAAGTAAAAAATAATTCTGCTCTCTATTCTGGACTAACTTAATCCATCAAAGCAGGTACAAACAACTTTTTTCTCCACCTTGCAAATGCCTACCTTAATTTGATAATCAAAGTAAGGAAGAACCTGACAATCTGAGCATTAATATATGATTTTAACTGTCTCCTTTTTATTCTCCCTTCTAATCGTAACTCGAGCATTGTTATAAATAGTAGTAAATAGCGCCGTAATACTGATAGCAGCGTTAATGGTCCCTTCCCGCTATGCTATCGCCCAATAGTGATGACATATTGCGGAACATGAGCTTTCCGCTAGCAACAACGGCCAATAGCGCGCCATAGCTGTGAATAGCGGGTGATTGCTGGCAAAATCCGTTTTTTTACCACTATTTAAAAGTGGTTTGATGTTTATTTTTTTAAAATTAAACTCGCCCCACAACCATTGTATCCCACCACCTCCCGCAATTTCCGATGAATTCCTACAGCCTCCCATAGTCTCCAGCACCTCCCTCAACACTTCCTCTCACCTCTTCTCGCCGTGAGCTTCTCCTGCTGCAGTCCTCTTATCGCTTAGCTCATATTCTCGAAGACGACAACTCTTTGATTCCTCATTCAGTCGTCTTCAGTATTATGTAACGGTTACATCTCTATTGCAAACTTAGTATTTAAAGAAATCATCAAATATGCACTTTTAGATTTTCTAGATTTTTCTTTAATATTTCTTTTTTTTTTTTTGAAAATGTATACATACCTAAATTAGACTGCTATTCGACTTTGCGCTTTTTACCGTTATTTTTCCGCAATAGCCCTAAATAGCCTTAGCGAGCTACGCGACGCTATCCGCTATCGATAACCTTGAACTCGAGGTTCATGGACATCCTATCTAATTACCTGCAAGTCGAGCAACTACATCTTGAGTAGTATCTTAACAAATTTCACGCTGGTTGAGATGCTATGCACCTACCTCTTAGAACGCCTGCAAAGTAAATATAAATCCCTTAAGTGCGTAAATATAAATCCCTTAAGTGTGTTAAGTGGCTCACAGAAACTCAAATAGGGTGTCCTTCATAGAAGCGATCTCAAGTTATAAACTTGTAATAACTCATGCAAGTTATTTTTTATCAGTGGTGGCTATGGCTTGAATTACTTGCAATCCAAGCTTATTAACTGCAAACGGTAACTTGTCATGACCAACATAACAACAACATACGAGAAACAATATATCTGAGAGTGAGATAAATTTGATGGAAAATTCTAAGAGCATTCAGTGTTCTAAGAGATGTCGATTTTCCTCATTGTTGCCTCCTAACTTCATGCCCGGGGCTTGCAAGTTGCCAAACCATAGGATGATGATTGAATTGCATGTGAAAACAGAAGCAACGAGATGTTGATTTTCCTCATTGTCACCCCTTAACTTCATGCCCGTGGCTCCAAACCTTAGATGATGATTGAGTTGCATGTGCAAAACAAAACCAATGCTGTAGCATGGATTACACCCACACCCTAAATCATCATAATTGCCTATGTGGTTCTAGTAGAAGGACGTGATCAACGGTCAGAATTGCGTTGAAGTAATTGATATTATATATATATATATATATATATATATGATAATAAGATATATTATATATATATATAGATTATATAATATATATATCTTTATAAATATATATAATTATATATATCAAAACGCATAAACTCACATTTTCTCATGTAAATAAGAAGATTGGTGATAGTTTGCAGTGGCCACTACCTACTCTGCCTTTAACTATATAGGCACTAACAAACATGATATAATGCCTTTTGAGGGACTCAGCTAGAAACATTTCAATCCTAATTACAAGGCAAGAAAATTCTTGCAAAGAAAACAATTTATATCATTCAAATTTGGTAACCCAGACACTTTTGGTAATCTCAAGTCTATGATGACATGTACTTTTCAAGGGAACCAATAATGGAAGTTTGTAATTCACAGCACTATCCTAATCCCTATTCATTCATGTGATCAGCATTTACATGTATTAGACTGCTTCTAAGTTAAAATGCTTTACTAATCTAATTATTGAGAAGGTAACTATCAATATTTTATATCCCATACATGAGGGACAACTTTTTTATAAAGTTTTACATCTTTGTGAAGTTAGTGCTTTTAAAAATTCATGAACTGTATAGTGTTTAACTGTTTATATGTATAGTCTGACTTTAGTTTTAGGTCGTAAAGCATTTTATAATACAGTGAAAATAATCTCCATTCTTAAGTGCATTTAACAAATTTTTAATAGTATGTAATTCCGTTTATTGTTGTGAGCGTTTTCATCCCTGAATCCAGGGCACGCCATAGAGGATGCCCTATCTAGTTATGTTACCTCTCACGTCATTAATAATTTCTTACAATGATTAGACAAAAAGGACTTCAAGGCAGTAAAACGTAAACAAGGCACATAAGTCATAAGATAACAACAGACTTATACTAGCTTTCACAATACCATCCATAACCAACTCATCTGTTTAGGATTACTTAAGTCTTTCCTTTCCATATGATGAAGATGTCTAGCAAGGTAAAGAGGATCATGAACATTAATCATTGGGTTATAGTTTATACTATCACGTGCTAAAAAATACGCAAACGACCAAATTATTTCATTTGTCAAATTTGGGAACCAATAACTATATATCATGGTATGATGAGAAGATTCTGAGTAGACCCAACTCTTATTAGTTAAAGTAAAAAAAATTAAAAATAATAAATAAAGTAAAAAATAGATAAATAAGTAGCACGCTTAAAACTTCCAAAAAGACTTTCAAAGAAAAGGGACGAAAGAACATAATAATAGACAATTTTCTCTGCCGAGTTTTTTGTCCTCAAATCATTAGGACTACAGTATTACAAACATTTGCTGTTTCTGTCTATAACTAATGACGTTGACCAATGTCAAATGATGACTACTTCATGGTGGGAACATATCCAAAAATTAATGTGCTGCCACGACAACCTTGGGAACTAACTTTAGAAACTATGCTTAGACAAGGAAACTAAGAAGAAATAGATGTGCAGAAATCTTGAAAAGGATAAGACTAACAGAAATTACTCTTTGTACATCCATCATATATGAATGCTAAGTGTTTTAACTTACAGGAAATTAACTAATTCCCAGCTCTGTCTCTACCACTAGCCAGACATAGTTTAGAACATACAAGATAATCCATTCAATGGTCTCATAACCTAAGCTTTACTTCATCATACATTTTTATATTACAATTGATTATTTTAAAATAGTGGGCTACGTAGACAAAGAGTAGACCCCCTCTTTCTTACAGTAAAAAACTAGTCAAAATATAAAACCAGCATCAATATATCACTCTCCACCCAAGCACTTAAAAAAAATTATTGTTGTTATATTCACATCAAACAATAATTGCTTACCCAATTACCCTATTCTTTTTCCATTAAACTTTGAGGGTTCATGATCAAATATACTATTTCGGCCTTTTTGCATGATATTAGGAATAACAAGCTACATCATAAATACCCAACAAGACAATATTACTGATCGACGCCTTTAATCTATATCGAAGATACCAAAGGCATAAGTATCCCTCAAGGAACAAAGCCTTGAGCAGATCTAGGAAATGTCTACGTAGAGCAAGTGCCCTAACTAAATTTCCAAATATCTGTACCGCTCTCCTCATCTTAGTCTTGTCCCAATGGTGTGCTTTTGGACCATCTATTTGTTTATTAGTTCACATATTTTATGACTCAGAAAGAGGTAGGTAACAAAAATTAAAGTTCCATACTAGAAATATTAGCAAATGTTCAGTTTAACTTATATGTTTTATTTAGTTTTTAGTGATTAATTTATTATTTCAATAAGTAACATTGTATATCATCCTTCTTTAGTAATAATAATTTTCTTGAAAAAATGGTTGACTACTATTACAATTGTGTCTATTTTGGCTCCATTCTTGAACAAAAAGGACCTAGACGCCTAGTTATTTTACATGGCATCACTGACATGAGCACTTAAGAAGAGTCTCCATATTAA